AATTTCTTTTTAGTTTGGATACTTTTTGAAGATGTCGCTGTGATTTTTGGACATGCGCGAATGCGACAATGATTTTTATTTTCAAAATTCGAACACGTGCAGCGTGACTCAGATGTGAACGATTTTTATCTCCTTATCTGCAACAAAAAATTTTATGTCCGGGAATTCTAAACTCAAAATATTAAGTTTTTTTTTGGAAAGTCCAAGAACAAAATTAGGAATGCCCCCAAAAATACATTTTTATGGAGTTACGCAAATTTGCATATCAAGAATATTTTTGTTATTATCGAAAAATTAGCATTCAGGTTGTAAAATTTTGGCATAACAAAATATTCTATGCGAAAATTAAATTCGTGGGAATTCCTGAAAATTGTTGGCATTTTATGATGAAACTTTTAACATAAATTAAATTTGTTACGGATATGAATCAAATGCGAAGATTTATAGCCTAGAAATAATTTTAATGTGCATTTTAAGCATTTTAAAAAATATAAAAATCTTAAATTAATGGAAAGGTTATTGACACAGTATCTGGAAAGCTGATTCGTGAGCTGAAGTATCTTACAGAGCGTTGATCTGGGTTCAATCCCAAGTCAAGTCAAGTTTTAGAAGCTCTTTTTCCATTTCACCGTTCTAGTTATGAAGCTCGGTTCGTGTGTTGGATGTAGTTTTGATATATTTGGCACAGAATTTACCTCCTTTGCTAGCTATACTAAGATGTACTAGCATCTGGATGATTTCATTACACCATCTTGAGCTCACGAATTGTGACTAGGTATATTGCAGGATATATAAAGACGCACTCGTGTCTGAAATGTACAGAGACTGCAAGTGGTTCAGATTCCACTATACTTGGCGTTCAATTGGAAATGACTTGGTTCTAATTATACTATCGACCCGTCCCTCGGTTGGCAAACCTTTCAATGTGTGCCGATCGGGCTGTATCCCAGATAAGATCATTTACTTCTTTAAAATATTCTAAATCTTAAAAAGAACCCAAATTTGCTTCAAGAATATCATCAATTTCAAGCTGTAAGTGGTAATAAAGTAATTAAGAGTGTGATTTGGGTATTTCAAATTGTGAAGATAATTTGTGAGATAAAAGTGCTAACAAGCTCAAATTGAAATGTCTGCAAAATTGATTACTTCATAATTTTTGTTCTGGATTTGTAGATGTGGTAGTGTTTGATAGTCAAGTAAAATATTAAAGAACTTTAAAAATTAAATAAAAATAGCAAAATGTCAAACAAAACGAGTTCTAGCTTTTGTGAAGTAATTTAATAATTTATAAAAATTCTGAAAAATAAAAATTTTAAAGTTAAAAAAAAAAAACATTTTAATTTTTATTATTTTATTTCTTTTCTCATTTACTAAACTATGTTTTTCCTTTATTCATCTAGTTTATGTATCGCTATGTTCCATTCACTACAAAGAATTTTCTTGTTTCTCAATAATTTTTTTTGTGTTCTTGTTTTATGTACAAATGTAGAACGTCTAACTTGACTTAACTTTATTTGAAAATTTTCAATTTCTTTGTCATCTAATAAACGTATCAATTTTCTTCTTATTTATTACTTAAAAATTAAAAAACAAAAAGTGAAAAAAATTTCCAACTTTGTGTTTCCTGGTTTTCCTTTCTTATTTATTTTTCATTATCTTTTTATTTAATTATTAACAATTTTTGATTAAAAAAGAATAAATGATGATTATAATTGGCAATTTATTTTTATAAAATCAACTTTTTCAATTCGGACATAAAACATAATTATTGATTTAAATTAGTAAATTATTTTTTTGATCTTTTTCGAAAATTAAGTTTGATTTATCCTAAAATTTCGATGCTGTCTGCGCAGTTTTGTATTACTTTAAGATTAATTAAAATTAATAAATTTAAAATTAAAAAGTGGCACAAATGAATCGATTTTTAATTCTTTTTGCCTTCGCTTTCTTCACTTACTTTCTTTTTAAATTCTTATTGCAAAGCTTGATTTTAAAGAGTTTCTCAAACTGTTCTACATTTTACGTATAATGATTTTGTGCAATAGATTTGACATTTTTGGGAATTCTTATTAAGAAAAAAAAATAACTTTAATATAACGTTGACTGAACTTAGAAATCTGAAGTCAATTCAATAGTTTGAACTTGATTTAAATTAACAAAAATTTTGAAAAATTATTCAAAAATAATCAAAAATGATTAAAAACGATTAAATCTAATTGAAAATTGAATAAAAATTGTCGAAAATATTAAAAAATCATTTATTGCATTAAAATTTATACAAAAATAACTTCCAAGTTCGAAATTATTGAACATCTGTGAAAAAATAAAATGTGAATTCAAAAAAAAAACTTCCAACTTTTCACAATTTAAAAATTCTATAAAAGTAAAATCAGAAAGCAAAAGCATTGCTACAATTTTTTCACTGTTTTAGTTTTTTTTTTATTAAATGATTTTTTTTTCACCTTAGCGACTAAAAGTATTATTGCATATTTCTAAACTCTTTCCATCCTTCCATATTCTGCGTGTTTTTTTGTGTGTTGAACATTCAAATTTTTTAAATTTTTAAGGTAATTTTTTTGTTTTCTTAAACAACAATCAACTTTTCTTTCATCTAAAATTTAACAATTTATTTTTTTTCTGTGAATTTTTTTTTTTTCTTATTAATTGGGATCAATTATTACAAATTCATGTCCTTACTTACAAAACTGCCTGCATTCTCTTACTTATTATATTTTTTACATACAATTTTTTATTTATTTTTTTTTGTTTTATTTTTTATTAAACTTAAGCATTGAATAGAAATTAATTCGTTCATAATTTTTAATATTAGATAATAATTATAATTAAATCATCACATAATGTTTTCATTTTTATTTTAAATATATAAAAGTAATTAGCAGATGATAGAGTGGACATTTCTGAAGATTGAGATTGAATTTTGTTTGTTGATTTGACTGTAAACTTTTAAGATTCAATCAACTTTTTGAAATTATACAATTTGAAAGTTTGAAAATTGAGAAAATTTTAATCAAATTTTAATTGATTTTTTAAAATTAAATGGAGAAAAGATAAAAAAAAATTCAGTTGATATTCATCTTTGTTTCATTCTTAAGCGTTGCTGGATCTTATGATGCCAACAGTATTGAAAAGTTGTATCAGAACTCTGATATTAACTTAGCTCACAAAGAAACTGACTTTCAAAAAACGAAGACTTCAAACAAACTTATCTCAATCTTTGAAATATGTCTAGCTTAGTTCTTAATTAGTATTTTAATGTTATGACTTTTGAGAAACTAAATTAGTTTGTGAAAATTTTGATTTTATTAAATTGATTGTTAAGCTACCAAAAATAATCAAAATCGACAAGTTTTGATTTAATTGTTGATCAAACTGACTCATTCTTTATCTTTAACCATTTTATTCATCATTTACATCTTGTCTTCATCAGAATCTTATTAAAGCTTGAGCTAAACTAAAACAATTATCTGATGGAAAATAGTTAAGTTCATCATAGTGTCTAGCTCAAGATCAGAACTAATTTGCCATTTAAAAAAATCAAAATTCCACCTCATAATAACTTAATTCTTCAAAATTATTTTAAATTAAAAAAGACGCATCACAATTGAACTATTTAACAACATTACTCTCGCATTACTTAACAATTCATTAAAGAAAAACTTAATTGAAATAAAAAATAAAGAAAAATATTTAATTTTCTCATCAAATGAAAAGGAAAGAAAGACATAAATTTAATAATTCTTAACGATTTGATTTAAATGATATTTTATGGACCCATTTATTATTTTTATTGCATTTTATTTATATCATTGAAGCTATACAACTTGTTGAATCAAATAATGGAAAATTTACATAAAATTAAACTTATTTATCAAGAAAAAAAATTAAGTTTAAGTTGAAATAATCTAAAATTAGTTTGAATAAAAAATATTAATTTCATAAATTGAACACTTTAAGTTAGCTTATAAGGAAGAAGGGGTTTTATAAAACTAATTTTTAAATGTTTTTGAAAACTAAATTGGAATTGTTTTGTTCCATTTTTTATTCACAAACGATAAAGATTTTCATCATAATTTATTATTTTCCATTATCATCACTTAATAAATCATACATTTCAAGAAGTCAAAATTGTTCAAATATTGTTTTTATGAGAGGAAGTAAGTTCCATTTGAGATTTATGGTTTTTCTCAGCACATAAGTGTGAATATTGAATTTAATTTAAACAATTCAAATAAATTGAAAAAATTTGAATTTTATGAATTCATTTGGAAAATTGATAGCTAGATTACAGCTTTTTAACAAGATTAAGTGAATAAGAATTTCTAAAATTGGTAAAATCATTTGATAATAAATCATCTTTATTGGAATTGGTTTTAAACATTTACATTTAATTTGAGTTATTGCAACAGAATGATTTAGAACTTAGCCATCTAATTACTAAGTTCCTATTGATCATAAATTCAGCTAGCAGAATTTGTTTTTAAAGATTTTTGATCTGTCATCTTGATCAGATCTTCTTGAGGTACTTTTCGTCAGTAAAAAATTGAATTCTTAGGATTTTGTATGACTTGATTAAAGTCTTAAAACAAGTTCAGCTTTTTATTGTAATCAGATTAAATTGTCCCGAAAAGCACAAGTCGGATAATCGAGCCATCCTAGCGTAGGATTTCGATTATCCGACTTTTGCTATTCGGGTATACTTATTATAAATTTCAAAAAGTCTCGGTCTTGAAAGATTGTTGATATTGAGACTTACTGGATAATCTTGATTACAGACTCAGCATTAAGAACACATTAATAAGTGGTTTGATAGAAAAAAACTTAAAGTTTTATGATTAACCACTTCCAACGCTATTTTAATGTATCCAATACTAGTGCTTAGTACTAATGTTCTATAAATCTCAATTTCTGAGACATTTTCCTTCAATCTACATGATTTGAACAATTCTTGACTTACAGACAATAATAATTACATAAAAAAAGTTTTCATAATTCTTTCTTTCTCTTTTCTGTCTACAGAACCTGAGATCAAACTTAAAAAAATTGTAAGAATCAATGCTTAGCATTCTCATAACATGTGTATGCATAACAAATAAACAAAAAAGTGGAAAACAAAACTAAAAAGAAATTAGGAAAAAAATTAACACTTTTTATTCGAGCGAAAGAAATAAAAATTTATTTAGCATTTAACATTAGTTCAATCCATCGTCTGTATTGAAAATTAATAAGCTTGACAATTAACTACAACATTTTTTTTTTATATCCTCAATAAAATAAAACTTTTTCGTCTTCAACATTCTTTTTCATCATCTTCTATCAAGCATGCATTTTTGATTCCAAAAAAAATTTTGTCCTTTCTTCTTAAATCACTTCCATTTTGCGCATTTTCTGGCCTGATGTTCCATCAATTAGTTTTTCTTTTTACTGTATTTGACTTGGTTTTTTTTCTTATGATTTACATTTTTTTAATCTTTAAGGATTTTTTTTCTCTTTTTTTTCTACAAGAAGTTTCCATTTTGGCATTTGATAAACGCCTACAAGAGATTAAAGAGAATTGAAATGTTAGAATAATTTTGAAATTTAAAGGTTAGAATTTTATAAAGTTAATAAACCCAACCCATTCTCCCCTATCGTATTCTAGTTATGACTCTAGCACTGTCTTGGTTTCAAGAAATCTTTAAGGCAAATCTTTAAGACATAGCCTCGACGTTGTTAAATTCATAACTTCAGATGAAGCACTGAACTATGTCTAGATTCAATATAGTAATCCGGCGCCCAGCCGATATGACTCTGACATGATGCTGGATTCGATTTAAATCAGCATCATTTCAGAGTCACACCGGCTAAGTGGGGGGGATTTCTGATCGATTAACCAATTTGTGCTATTTTGGTTACTCTTGTCAGTAGGTCTGATAGAATCGATCTATAGCAAAAAAGAGTCTAGCCTTTAAAATCCGATTCAAACGGGTAGCTAGAGAGTGGGTTTTAAAAATCTTTCCACTCCACACCTCTTTGACTCTTAATTTATAAACCCACATTCCCCATACCAATATCTTTAAATCCTGAGAATTTAAATTATAAACTCTTGGCATGATCTTCAATTCCCAGATTTTATTGATGTCATAATTGAACTTTTGTAACTCGCTTCAATTATTTCCACGTGGCTCAATTCCTGCCAAAATAATTATTATGACTCTTTGTCTATCTAATTGGCAAGAAGTAAGTCTGCTCACGTCATAGTTTGAAATGCTCATGAGTTACTATAAAGCTGCCATAGACACAGATCTTGGTGATATTAGAAAATTTTATTTCAACCCGTCATATTTTCGTGCCGCACTCAAGTGTTAATAAGTGTTAAAATTCTTTAAAGAATTATCAAGATAAGGTTTTAAATTGTAATTCTTTGTCTGTCTTGACCTATTTTGAAGAATATTCAACTTTGGACTACTCCTGACCCTTCCCTTATCTTTAGTGGCTAAGTATTTGTGAACCCAAATAGCTTGGTTAAGGAATTGATTTACATGTTCAGTTATATTCTTTGAAGCCAGAAGCAAGCCATAAACTGGTAAAACGGTGCCAAAACTTAGCGAATTTTATTATCCCATTTAAATAATGAAAAAAATAGAGGCCTGTTCTTTTAAAAAACCAATTAGAATGGTCAATCTTGAAAATCCCATAAAATCCACTTCCTTATAATAAATCCAAATAAACTAAGTCAAAAGTAAGTGCACGATTCACCTAACACGACTCCCTTTAAATACTTGTCACAAATCGTAATTAATGACTAATTAAAATTCTCATTGAAGTTGCAACAGATAGCAAAACTTCTCTTTCATGTCCATTTTGACATAAAATTTAATTTCTTAAAAAAAGCTATTAATTTTAATTACGACGTAGACAAAATAGCTTCCAAGAATTTGCTAAAACTTTTCATCCCACCCAAAAAAATTGTTCAATTAATCACTTCCATCGCCCACAATAAAAAACTAGTAAAAAGATCGCCAGTACTTTGGATCTGGGCGACTTCAGCGTATTTTCCTCTTACTGATCAGTAAACTTAGTTGTAACTCAAAATCGTTTGAGGGCCTTAATTTTTCGTACCAGATCTTTAATAGTTCGTTCCAGATTTTTATTTTAAAGATCTGGTAGCATTTAAAACATGTCCCGTATCAAAAACATAAATTCAGTAGCTCTACAGTCATAGTCAACCCCTAAAACAAAGATCCAGTAGCTTTACATTCACATCCATCATTAAAAATAAAGAACTAGTAACTCTAATGTCATATCCAACACCAAAAACTAGGATCCAGTAACTCAAAACTCATATCCAACACCATCAACAAAGATCCCATAACTTCAATGTCATGTCTAACACCAAAAACAAAGATCCAGTAACTCTAATGTCATATCCAACACCAATAACAAAGATACAGTAACTCTAGAGTCATATCCAATCCCAAAAACTAAGATCCAGTAACTCAAAACTCATTTCCAATCCCAAAAACTAAGATCCAGTAACTCTTAACTCATATTCAACACCATCAACAAAGATCCAGTAACTCTAATGTCATATCCAACACCTATAACTAAGATCCAGTAACTCAAAACTCATATCCAACACCATCAACAAAGATCCCGTAACTTCAATGTCATGTCTAACACCAAAAACAAAGATCCAGTAACTCTAATGTCATATCCAACACCAATAACAAAGATACAGTAACTCTAGAGTCATATCCAATCCCAAAAACTAAGATCCAGTAACTCAAAACTCATTTCCAATCCCAAAAACTAAGATCCAGTAACTTAAAACTCATATCCAACACCATTAACAAAGATCCCGTAACTTCAATGTCATGTCTAACACCAAAAACAAAGATCCAGTAACTCTAATGTCATATCCAACACCAATAACAAAGATACAGTAACTCTAATGTCATATCCAACACCAATAACAAAGATACAGTAACTCTAAAGTCATATCCAATCCCAAAAACGAAGATCCAGAAACTCAAAAACTAAAATCCAGTTACGTTACATGAAGCAACGTTCAAAATTTTAACGGCTATTTTGAAATTTGAAATTGTTTTATCAAACTCGTATGTTATGCAAAAGTCGGCTAAGTCGTTGCAAAAAACATATAAAAGTTAATTTAATTAAGTTTTGGTAAGAAGTTATGAAACATAAAGCGGATTCGGTTTGCCTACAATATGGCAAGGATTGAATGCAAAAAATCCGAAGGCTCTATATGCTTTCATTGCTGAGATCTCACGGTACCAGCCAGCCAGCCAGCCAGCCAGCCAAAGTGAAGATAAAAGCGTATTGTTCCTTAGGAAAATACGCTAATGAATCAAGGAGAATCAAAAAAAGGTTGAATTAAAAACTTTTTTTCAATACCTTAATGAACCCACGAATTGCACGAATTACTTGCCCTCGCTTGCTGATACTGTCCATGATTGTGATTAGCTGTCGAATGTTGTTGTTGGACATCACCGCCATTTATCGTATCCACCATTCCTTCTTGATTGTTGTTTTGAAAATTAAAATCTAAAGGTCCATAACTGAGTTCGTGTTTTATTACCTTTTTGTCAATTGCGCGTTAAGGGAAGACACAACAAAAAAGAAAGAAAGATAAGTTAGAGGATAAACATTCGCAAATGATTGATTGATAGATAGACAGGATGGAAAGGCAGGGATGAGAATGATTAATTAAATGACACTTACTTCATCGACATTACAATCCAATCCGCCTTGAAATGACTCTAAATTTAAATTTAAGTCATCCAAATTTGCTTGATTGTTGAGAACCTCAATGAATTGACCCATTAGAGTGGAAGGTGTGTTATCTACAAGGAAAATAATTGACAATATTAATGACATTGTCAGTCTTATAATATCCATCTATTCATCTTACGTCCGATATGTTGTGTTGTATTAAGATTTTGTGTATTATTTAAAGGTGGACTATTTGATGATGGTCTCGGAAGTCGATTTTGATTGACGAGCATCGAGTAATCGGGTGAAGGTTCACTGTATGCTGGTGACATTCCGGTAACTGATCCTGGTGACATACTCTAAAATATATACGATAAGATTTCCTATAATCCCACAAAAAATATAAAGAACTGCCAATCTTACCTCTCGTGTATTATTCTGTAGCAAATGAATTGCTTGTGGAGGCTGTTTCAAGCCATATGTCGTTGTTGGCATAGTCGTGTGCATTGAATATTGTGGTGGCTGGTAGGGTGGAGGTGGTGGATGATGTAAACTTGCTGTCGTAAACCTACTCCATCCGTATGATCAGTTGGTTGGAAAAGAAGGAAGAGAAAGAAATGTTCATGGTAAAAAAATGACTGTTCTTGGCTGTGTCGTGACGTGGAATAATTTTATGTGGGATGGTATTGCATTTAGAGAATATTTTCTTGGTGATTGCTGGTGAAGTTTTGAGCGCGATTTAATGGTTTTGTGGTTTTTGGAGTTTTTTGTGGTACTTCATATAAGATGTTGCTGCTAGAAGCTACCTTCAAACATGGTTTGTAGCAGTTTGTAGCTAATGGAGATGGATTTAGTAGTCTACAGTCTTCAAGTCTAGATCCACAGCTTTTAGACGATTCTGAACGACTTCATTGATGATGTCCCTGACTTTATCATTCAAATTGAAGCTATGATAGGTTTTGAACCCTTCATTCTTGTGAGAATGTGTAATGATTCTCAATAAAGGTACCAACGTACTAATGAAATGCATCACTTAGCAACATCAGCTTACAACCACTGCAAATCGCGCCAAAACATTCCCCAACCCCAGCAAAACATCCTCTCAATTGAATAAAAATTTATGGTCATTTATCCTACTATATCACGCATTAGTCTATAAGAATAACTAGTATATTAAATGAACTCATGCAACTACTCTACTGCTATTAAATGTCTATAAAAATATTTCTCATATTCTATATAAATTTTCAATAGATAAATATTGGCTAAATATCTTTCGTGCTTCAACTATTTTCAAAGGAAAATTACTATTTGGATGGAGACATTCTTCAGGGCAATTGAAATATTTGAGGAAATGCATCATGCAATAAAATAAATAAAACTTTTAAATAACATCAAAATGAAAGACTTTACTTTAAAGTTGATAGCTCTCCACAATTTTTTTTTTGTTAGTAAGGATCTAACCCTCGTTAATGATGATAATGAAAGTCATGATAAACAAAAATAAATAATAACTTAATACTGACCCATTAAATAAATCATTTTGTAATGTTAACTCATCAGCTAGTGAACCGGCTAAGTCTTCAAGTATTGGATTTGACGATGCACCATTACCATTGGCAGTATCCGTTTCCACGAAACAATCCCAATCATTTTCAATTGCTAATGATGGAATCGGACTCAGTCTTCCCACTGAACTTGCATTTGAGCTTGCCCTTTGTCGAAAATCAGGTGACAATTGGAAGTTTGCACTAATTTTTTTTATTTAACATTATTTAATGATTGTCACGTGTTCAGGAATAGATTTTCATCGTGATGATAATAAAAATAAAATTTAAATTGCAATGTAACGAAATTTCATGAAAATTAAAAAGAAAAGAAAAAGAAAAAAAAATGAAATAAATTTAAATAATAAATAAAGTAATTAAAATGTTTCAACCAATTTTAACCTTAAACTTAACAGTAAAAAAATGTTTTGCGTCATAAAATGAGGGGTGTGTCGGATAGAGGCAAAGATTTGTTAAATAATATAATTTTTATGACAATTTTAAAAGCTAAGATAAAATACAAATTCTGGAAGTAGCTTAGTCGCAAAATCAAAATCCAAACACACTTCCTCTGAGTTCCAGAACTGAGGCTCTTCCTTTACAACAATAAGAACCAGAGACTGACCATTTCCCACACAAACTTAGTTCCAAATCCTAGTTATCCAACAAATTGATATAGATTAAATCTATCTTCGATGGTTGGTCTCATATTCAAAAATAACTTATGACACACCTTGTTTATCCAACCTTTAAACTCTAGCTATGATAAGAAAAAAATATCAATCGAACCTTCAAACTCTACGTCACACTTTCTCATCGTTACAAAATCTAAAATCGCAATAATTTTGCGACGTTTAATTTTATTTCTTTTTATCAAAAGAGGCAAATTTCAAGTGTGTGTCAACATGTGTTATAAAAATACTCAAAAAGAAACCAGCGAATTCTAGATTTAGCTTCACGAATATCGATGCTTCTTTTATAAATAGTCTTTGATTCTCAAAATATAATTTGACATTTAGAAATTATTTTTGACAGACATTTAAATTAAGACTGTCTTGTGTGTAGAATATTAGCATATTTGTATCGTGATATGAATGGTTTGGAGATGTTAATAGCTTGCCCGAAATGCACACGGCAATCTTGCATCCAGGACGGATTTCACCAATATCTGCGTGGTATCACGTTTATTTTATCCTGGACGTTAGATTCAGGGGCGTAGCCAGGGGGGGGGGGCATACCCCCCCCCCACCTCCTACGAAAATCTGATAATTGTTTTATTAAGTATTTATAGAGATGAACCAGTTAATGTAGAGGAAGTGATGAAAGAAATTTCAAAATCAGCACGAAAAATTAAATTTAATTTATGAATAATGAATTAAATATTTAAACTTATGAAGAATGAATATAGATTTAAGGATACAAAATAACGGTTTTTTAATTTTTGAAAATGCCCCCCCCCCCTTCAAAATTTTCTGGCTACGCCCCTGGTCAGATTGATAGCCATTTTTAATGCTGTGTGCCTTTCGGGTTGACTAGAGCAGTTAAGTGACATTAAGGAAGATATTTCTTATTATTGATGACAGTATAAAATCTTCAATAATTAAAAATCTCAAAAAAATCAAGCGAATTTTTCAAAACCATCCCACAAGATTTCAAAAATTACTGTGCCTTTATTGCAGTCACATGGTGATCGTTAAAGACAAAAGTACGCATTTGTTTATTACATTCTTAAAACTTTTTTTTTAAATTCATAAACAACATTCAATGATATCAACTGTTTACGTGAAGTAATGACGAATTGATAATAAAGAACCACGTGTGGACTCGACTGATTCATAGTATTTTCTCAAAAATTCCTTTTAAAAATATTATAAATCATTTTGTGGAGCAATGAACAAGCTTGCGCGTATTAAGTGTGATAATAGATTTGATAACATTGCGAATTATTTTAATACGCAAAAAATATTGAGTGGAATTGTTCAGGGAGTTTCGAGGGATTAATTAAGACGTAGAAATTATTTGTACGAGGGAAGGCATGCAATGATGCAATTTGAATTGTTTTGATTGAATTTTACAATTAAATGAATAATTAATAAAAGGTTTTTAAAATTCATTAAATGTTGATTCGAAATTGAATTGAAATCTTTTAGGTTTGTTCTAAAAATGCAGGATTTAACTTGATTGATGAGTTCTTAATATAGCGAAATCTTGCATTTGGCGCCAAGTTCAAATTTTTAAAAATTAAAATCTTAGTCAAAACAATAAATTTTAGAATTTTTATGGGAATTTCTTGTTATATTTCAATGTTTGAGCCTTGAAAGACGAGAATGCCCATAAAAAATCCTTTCATTCCAGATTATTCACGTTCTCTCCAATTATCAGCTGATTTATTAGACTATTGTTCGGTACTTATTTTGTTATCAAATGAATGACATCACAGAAAAATTTTGTACACATAATAAACATCTTGTAGTAAACACATGAACATGACGAAAGATCTTTACGTAGATGTTTTCTTTATAAATTACTATGGAGCTGTTTTCATTGACTAAGTACAAATTTTACTTGAAGAATTTCATATGCGGGATCTGTTTTAATTTCTGTTATTTAAAAAGGAGAGTTATTTTGAATATTTGATATGAATAATTAAATGCAGTCAAAATTTAATTTTGTAGCATTATTTTAAATTTTAAACTAAATTTAAAAAAAATATGTGAAAACTTCAAAATCTACTGAATAAAATGCGAAAATTTGGGATAAAAATTAATAAAATTGATGTAATCTAAGCAATATTAAGCTGGTCTAGATATACTACAACATTCAAAGCTGATATAAGGTCAAAGTTAAAATACCGTCGGTAAAGAAAAACCTGAACTGTTAAAAAGGGGTGTGCAATAGATTATTTTAATTTTAATGATTATTATGAAATTTTGATCTCAAGGGTTCTGCTCAGAACCCTAAGGACCCTTTTTTGGCTACTTTTCTACTCACTATCACTGTGACTTGAAAATAAGCATTTTCTAAGGCTACCTTTGATCATTAAATAGAATTCAACTGTGACTAGAGTAGTGACATATGCTGAGGCTTAGCCAGGGGCATTGGGATTGAGCTCCTCTCCTTTTTTGAAAGATTTCTTTCTCTTGAAAATTTCTGGCTAAACCCATGAGCTAGTAGCGCGCATAGCCAGCGGATGGATTTGGGGGACAAATCCCCCTTCGTCTTGAGAAATTTCTTCATGTTGCTAGAGTTTTTATGAAAAACTCGAAAAAATACCTCCCCCCCTTAAAAGTTTTCCATACAAAAAAAATTTGTCCCCCCCCCCCCCCTCTTCAAATCCCTGGCTACGCCCCTGGCTAGTAGTATTGAAATTGACCCAGAGCAGGTCAAAGAAAGTCAAGAATCATTTGAGATCAAAATTTAAATCGAGGAAAATTTGAATCCCCCTTTGAAATCAGCAAGTTCCTATTCTGCAAAAGGATTGTTCACTTATGACGTCGGAAATTAACGGTCATTTTTCAAAAAAGTCCCCCCCCCCCCTGGTCATAAGAGAACGGCCCCAAACAATGCTTTCTAATTTATTGCAACTAAGTCGTATGTTTATTTTCTACGTCATTTAAAATATTTGAATTACTCAATAATTAATAAAAAAATTAATCTTGTCACAGAAAGTAAGAAAATTACGGAAATTACTACAAATCTGCTGTTATCAAATAAGTTCTAAATCCAAAATAAAAGAAACAGTCAACAGAATTTGACGCAATAAGAATCAATTCTACAACATTGAAATGAGATCAATTCAAAAAAAAATCAAGGAAGTAAAATAAACATTCATAAAATAATTTCAGTAAACTTCAAGATTCTTCTAAAATCTACGCATTCCTTCGAATTTGATAAGTTAAGGTCAAAAAAATGATTAAAATAACTAGAACAAGCATTTCATAGAGTTGATAGATACCTATGAAGTGGACTCTCTGGAAATATATCCAATCCTTCACTCACACTGCTGCCGGGTGATGAATTGACGTCATTTAGAACAGCAGATACATCTAAGTATGACAGAAAATTAAATTACCCTCAAGACATGAAATAAAAATGTCATGCTTACTTGTTATCACTCCATTTCTTATTTGTTCGACGCGCTTCTTAACTCGCCCACGTCTCTTTTCAAATTTCGACGTTTCCATAGATGCAGCTCGTCGTCTCACAGATTTTCCGGGCTTTGCATCAGGATTTAACATCCACCAAGATGATTTGCCAGTTCCTTCGTTTTGTACTCTCATAAATCGATTGTGTAGTGACAAATTGTGACGAATTGAGTTCTGTTGGATGAGAGATGAGAGATGTTAGTCATCATAAAAAAAATAAATATATATAAATTGTATATTGAGATGAAAAAATTGCTTTTATGGCATTTAAGGATGTCATCATATAAAAATAAAAATCAATTTTACTTTCACTATGTGCGCTATGAAAATTCATGACTTTATAATTTTCTCTTGGATGTTCTGTACAGTAGAGGGAACAGTATGGGTGTAGTCAGGATAGTCAAAGGAGCCAAGAGGCTGGATTCCACTTTAGATAATATGAAACCCACATCGGGAGTTGGGAAATCAACTAAAAAGGTTGGCAACCACCTCGAGCAGTCAGAAACCATTTTAAATGGTTCCCCGCCCTTAAAAAATCCCCAGCTCCACCCCTGGATCCAAACAAAAAAAAAACTAAGAGAGTCGAGTCATAAGACACTTGTAAAATACTAAAAAATATAATTTTTTATCGTTATTGCCGTTGAAGAGTAAAAATTATGAATAGAAATTGGTACTTGTCAGCTTTTTGATGGTTACAACTTTTTTATCATCCCTTATTCTTATTCTTTATTTTATTTCCAGCGACATAAAATTAATCAATGATGTGTAAATAAATTTAATACAATGACTGTAAAAAAAAGTTGAGATGCTGATGATGAAGGAGGACTCATTCATTCGCGTTATTGTCACATAAAAAAAATTCTGCGTTGTAAATGAGAATGATGATCGTTGGAGGATAAAAAAAAATGTTAAGGTGGATGGAACGGAACGGGTGTTTAAAAAAATTTAATAATGACTGAAGTAATAAAATTTTTGTGTTGAGGTCTTTATGATGTAAAATAATGAACGAGTTGGTGGACATTTTTTTTGTGAATTTTCGGGGGTTTATTGAATTAGAATTCGATGACTAATGTAATATTTAATAAAATTCGTAAATTGGTATAGCTGTGGAGATCAATGAGTTTCTGTAGCTTCAATAGTGCTTAGTTTTTAGAAAACTAAGTTTTATTGATTACAACCGGCATCTACTATATTATTTTTTAAGAAAAAAATAACGAATTAAGTCAAATTACGTTGAATAAATTTAGAAAGAGTCAAATAGAGTTAAGTTGAGTTGATTATAGAGTCGAATATAGTTGATAGAGTTGAATATAGTTGATAGAGTTGAATAGGTTCAAATAGAGTCCAATATAGTTGAATAGAGTTGACTAGAATCGATTAGAGCCAACTAGAATCGAATAGAGTCGAATTGAGCATAAAACACTCGAACAAAGTGTCATGTTCAGACCAAGGGATGGATACTGAATGAATAATCCTTTTGTTCCGAATGAAATCGGATAAAATTTCTATTGTTTCATTTCTCAGTTTTGGTTTTCTTGAGATTTTTTGAATAATTTGCGGAGCGATTTGTAAACACGTCTGCTCTCGTTGTGATCTAGATTGGAAAACATTTCTTTGATCTGGATAAAAAAAATTTCGTGTCCATGCCTTGATTCTGACTTATATTCTTTAAAACAATACTTACTTAAAAGAGAAATTTAATTATTATAGAGCCTTAAGCAAAAAAGAAATACGCACGGCAAAAAAAGCTTATTTTGAAGAGCAATTCGCAAAACATTATTTAGATCCGAGAAAAACGTGGCAAAATTTAAATAGACTTCTTTACAATAAGTCTGCAAACTCTACACAAACATGCTCACTACTAGTTGATAACGGTATCTCAATAAATCAAAAGCAATCAATTGCTGATCATTTCAATAGATTTTTCGTTAACGTATCGCAGGAAATTACTAGTAAAATTAATATTAATAAATCGGAATATGATGATTTAATGAGAAGCGAGGTCTATCAAATAAATAGCAATTTTACATGTCCTTCCGTAACAGAAGATGAAGTTAAATTAGTAATCGAAAATTTGAAATCATCCAATGCTCTTGATGTATATGGGATGTCAAATTCATTTGTAAAATTTCACAAGAATGCGCTGTTAAAAAATCTAGCAAAATTATTAAACAAGTACATGTTTCAGGGTGTATTCCCAGAAGTACTAAAGTTAGGAATTGTAACGCCAATTTTCAAAAATGGTAGTAAAACCACTTGCAATAATTATAGACCAATAACCATAAATCCTATCTTTGGCAAAATATTTGAGTATGTGATTTATAGACGATTTCAAACTCATTTAGATAATAATAGCATAATACATAAAAACCAGTTTGGTTACGTAAGAAAATCAAACTGCGAAATTGCGGTAACACATGTTCTCAATGATATTTATGGATTCGTTGATGAAAGAAAGACAGTTTCTCTTACATGCATCGATTTAAGTAAAGCATTTGATTGCATTCAATTTAACATTTTAATTCAAAAATTGCGTAAATTAGCTCTTGATCCCTTCTTTCTAAATTTGCTGATCTCATACATTTATGGGAGAAAGCAGGCAGTCAGTATTGATGGAAATTTAAGTGAATTTCTAATAATTAATGTAGGATCGCCTCAGGGCGGTGTACTATCAGGACCTTTCTTTGATTTATACATAAATAGTGTCTTCAATTTGAAATTAAATGGAAATTTATATTTGTACTGCGACGACATGTCAATTGTCAATTTTGGAAATGATACAAAAGAAATGAAAGCAAATATAGAACAAGATTTAATGCTTATTCACAAATGGCTCAGTAATCATTTTCTTAGTCCTAATGCTAAGAAAACACAATATGTCTTATTTCAAGGAAGAAAGAGATTTGAGAGCTTTACAGAGCGGGCATTAAACATATCTTTTAACGGAACGGCTATAGAAAGGTCTGAAAATATAAAACTGCTAGGTCTTATCATTGATGAACAGCTTACATTCAAATGTCATGTCGATGAAATTAAGAAAAGAATTACTCCGTTTATATACGCGTTACGAAGAGCAAGAAAATTCATATCTGAAAAAACAGCTAGAGATTTATACTATGCACATGTGCAGTCACATTTAGGTTATATGAGTACAGTCTGGTCTTGTCTTTCAGTTGGTCAAATGAAGTCTCTTGAGATTCTTCAAAGAAAAGCTCTAAGAATTGTATTGAGGAAAAGTTGGTTTGCTGGAAAGGAGATATTGTATAGCATTAGACTTTTGCCAGTCTCTGTAATGTGTAAAACAAACTGCTCTCTTCAAGTATTTAAATTTGCATCGAATTTAATTAAAAATAATGTCGAAATACAATTAGGTAGCGATATTCATAATCATTCGACAAGAAATCGAGGAAATTTCACAATAAGAATGTGCCGCACTAGTCAAGGAGCGCAGAATTTTTACATTAGAGCATTTGCGGATTTCAATAATCTTCCACAGCAGATAAAGGCTTTTCATTCATTGAGCATTATTAAAAATCGTTTGAGAGAACACTATTTGGAATTGTATTTTGATGCTAATTAAATTAAATTGAATATGAAGTAATTTGTTTTTTATTCTCTCTCTGCAATAATTAATTTGTATAAATTTATAACACAACTTTAAGTTTGATATAAATAAATGAACTTTTAAACAAAAAAAAAAAAAAAAAAAAAACCTGTTTAGAAGACTTCAAACCATTAACTTAAATTTATTTAAAAAATTGCGACAAAAAAAAATTAAAAGCAAACAAAAAAATTTTTCTTGTAACTTAAAATCACCCCCAAATCCTACCCCCACCTCTCATCTAATTTCCTCACTTAAAGACACCAAAAAAAATTCATTAATTCAACTTTGAATAATTTCAAACTTCAAACCTTGAACAAAAAATAAAAGGAGGACAGCAATAGATAAACACAAGACTTCCCACACCCTTAAATCTAATCCACTTCCTCCCTCTTCTATTTTAAAAAAGGGCGAAGAAAAAAAAAGAAAGAAATTGACAAGAATGAACACAGTGAAAACATGAAATATGAATAATTAATGAAGTTTATGTTCAAGTGGTTGGAATTAAGTTAAAGTTTATCCATCGCGCATCTCATCTCAGACCGAGATTGCCATAAAGCATGCTACATACACACTTTAATGAAATGATTTTGCTTTTCTACATTTGGGAATTTTTTTTTCACATCTTATTCTTCTTCATTGCACAAGTCAACCGTTCTGTTGGTGGATTGAAGAAAAAAAATATGTAAAAGGAATTTCAACTCCCCCTACTCTGCACACATACACAGCGAACACGAATTATCATATAGCTCACGAGAGAGAAGAAAATGCGGCGCCTTTGAAACGTTAAAGTAAAAAGAAATTTTTTTTTTTCTTTCTCATTTCTCAAAAAAATATTCTTTTGAGTTAAATTTAGGAAGAAAAAGTTTTTAAACTAGTTTTTAAAGTGTAAGATTAGTGGATGTGCTTTTGTCTGGTGGGACACTTCACTGGTAATTTAAAAAAAAAATCTCAGCACATTAACAAATTTACGAACTATAGCTATGCCTCTAGTTCACTAGTTCACTACTTCACTAGTCTACAAGTTCACTAGCCTTCTAGTCATCTAGTCCAATGGTCTTCTGGTCATTTAGTTCCGTGGTCTATTAATCCTATAGTTTACTAGTTCTATAGTATTCTAGTCATCTAGTCCACTAGTCTACTAATCGTATGGTCTGCATCTAGTTTACTAGTCTCTAATTCTTACCCGAATGGCATAAGTCGGTTAATCGATTCGAAAGCCGGCACCAAGCAGGTGTAACTTTGGAATGGTGCTGGATTTAAATCAAATCCAGCATCATAACAGAGTCTTGCCAGCTCAGCGCTAGATTTCTTTTATATTAACCGACTTGTGATATTCGGGTTACGAAGAATAAAAACTGCGCTTTATTCCAAAATATATGCAGACATCCCTTCTTAATTTCAAATCTAAAGCGCGTATAGTGAGTAAGAGACAGTGAGGTATGCGAAGGAAAACTAAAGTCATCAAAATAAATGAGCAATATTAAATGTCCATTTTTCAGAGTTTATTCACATCACTTTATTTTTACATCTCTTTCTTTCTTTTTGTCGACAAATAGACATATTGATGATA